ATGCAAGATTTGCAGCACTGGTCGGTTTGAAGGTTGCAGGCCTTGGCATTGGGTTTAAACTCACGCTGTCATTCCGCACACTGACACCCGTGCTCATTTCATTCCTTTTGCTCAATGTCAAGCACATGTTAATATTATATTCCGACGAAGCAGCACCGGCGACAGCAAGATCGTGACTTCTGCCCACAACACAATCCACATTCTATCCGTGTCAAACTCAACAGGCTCGGTGTTTGCACGTACCCTAGTCGAGACCCTGTAGCGGCTAAAAGGCTAGAACAGCACCCTAAGCACCCCTGCCCGAGCCTGCCTGCTCTCAGCGCATGACTTGGTTACACTCACACTTTTCGGGCATTCTCCGGGTAAGGTTGCCTGGAGGCACTTCTCTGCACTAGGAAAAGGCACAAACCAAGAGGCAACTACTTCTACCTCGCCTTTTTCCCCGGATTGTGGCTGTTTTCAGCCCCCGTACTTTGTCAGGGTTTTGGGTTTGTGTGAAAACAGCCGCTTTGTGAGGTATCATGGCTATGCTGATTTCAGACTGCTGATTTCAGACGGCTGATTTCAGACAAGGCATCTTTGCTTGTGTCCCCATCCATTTCCTGATCCTTCAAGGACCGCTGAAAAAGTTTCTGCAAACCATCGTTCAATGTGTCGTCCACATAGGCTGGACCGTGCGCTTCGGCCAGCATCTCGCAAAACCTCTGCGCATCCTTGCGGGAGAACGCACAGGCTGGCCACTCAGGAGTGGCAGGCATCATGGCTATGCTGATTTCAGACTGCTGATTTCAGACGAAGCTGATTTCAGACTGCTGATTTCAGACTAAGCTCACGAGAAAAGGTTGCTGTCTGACAAGTTGAGTTCCCATAACTCTGATTTCAGACTTGAAAGTCAACAAGCTGACCTGCAACAAAACGTGAACCCTAAACCCCTAAACCGAAACCTGAAAGCCGAATCGTAAACCCATGAACCCCAGGCTAAATTCCGCGGCTTAAGGTCGCTATGGCTCTCGTACAGACGTTTAATTTCACCTTCAGCAGCACTTGACCAGACGATCACCCCTCACTGTACGTGGAAGAACCATGCCTGCCACGGCAACTCTCAAGGAGGTGTCGTGAGTCATGGGGCGAGAACATCTGGCCACATTATTTTTCTGCTTATGATGCCATTATTATTTTTATTTTTTTTTTTTTGGCCCTGGGCCCTGCTACTCTGTTACTCTCATACTCTTAGACTACTATTACTCTATGACTCTATTACTCTATTACCCTATGACTCTATTAGTCTCTTAGTCTAAAAGCTCTCTTACTCTACTACTCTATTACTCTAGTACTCTATTAGAGTATTCCTCTCTAAAAGAGTAATAGAGTAAAAGAGTAGTAGAGTAATAGAGTAACAAAGTAATAGAGTAGTAGAGTACTAGAGTAGTAGAGTAATAGAGTAAAGAGTAATAGAGTGATAGAGTAATAGAGTAAGAGTATCAGAGTAATAGAGTAATAGACTAATGAGTAATAGAGTCTTAGAGTAATAGAGTCTTAGAGTAATAGAGTAACAGGGCCGATGGCCAAAAAAACAAAAGAAAAAATATTAGCAGTAGCAATAGCAGTACTAGTACTACGAGTAGTAGTAGTAGTAGTATTGCATTGCGGACGTCACACAATCCGTGTGCTCGACGAGGGAGGACAGTCTATATAGACTGGCCGCTCAGTGGCAGCTTCATCGTTTTAATGAATCCTTTCTTGAAGACCTACCAAAGATCTACCGACCGCAGTTCTAGTCCATGACGTTCAGGTCAAAACTTGGCTCAGCGTGTCCGAACAATGGATAGTAAGAGAAGCGGGCCAGCCCTCCAGAGTCATTCGATGAAGATCCGGTCGTGATCATGCTCGTTGCTGACTCTGTGTTCCCAGTGAGGTCCAGGAAATTGGCCTGTGCCCCTCCATCCCCGACCACAGTCTCTGCAGCATCGTCATCCTCTTCCGAATCACTCGCGTGCACAAGCACTGGATCAGCTGTCGCCATGGGACCCACCGTATTCCATGCATGAAGATCTGTCCCAGCCGCATCCGCAGAAGCCTTCGCAGTAGCCATGGGACCCACCGTATTCCATGCATGAAGATCTGTCCCAGCCGCATCCGCAGTAGCCTTCGCAGTAGCCATGGGACCCACCGTATTCCATGCATGAAGATCTGTCCCAGCCGCATTCGCAGTAGCCTTCGCAGTAGCCATGGGACCCACCGTATTCCATGCATGAAGATCTGTCCCAGCCGCATCCGCAGTAGCCTTCGCAGTAGCCATGGGACCCACCGTATTCCATGCATGAAGATCTGTCCCAGCCGCATCCGCAGTAGCCTTCGCAGTAGCCATGGGACCCACCGTATTCCATGCATGAAGATCTGTCCCAGCCGCATCCGCAGTAGCATTCGCAGTAGCCATGGGACCCACCGTATTCCATGCATGAAGATCTGTCCCAGCCGCATTCGCAGTAGCCTTCGCAGTAGCCATGGGACCCACCGTATTCCATGCATGAAGATCTGTCCCAGCTAGAGCCATGCTGTCAGGCGAGACCAATTGTTCGGGCGGTCACGCTATGTCAAGGTCTGACATGTTCGGCAGTCCTAGAAAAGCTGGCACAGACGGTAGAGAAAATGAAGGCACAGCGAAAGAGAGTAAGATAGAGTAATAGAGTAATAAATAGAGTTAATGGAGTAGTAGAGTAATAGAGCATTAGAGTAATAGAGTAATCGAGTAGTAAAGCAATAGAGTAATAGAATAATAGAGTAATACTCTCTCTCTCTCTCTCTCTCTCTCTCTCTCTCTCTGTCTATCCGTTCCTCAAGCATGCACCCTCTTTCTTGACTGGACCTGCGCCGCTGGCATGTCCTGCGCGACAGCCACCAGATCTTACTTTCACGAGCACCGGCGTCTCCATTCGAGTCGCACAGCACCGCGCACCGCGGGCATCTAGTTCAAAGTGCGAACCCGCTCCTACTTGCACGTGCGCCGGCTCTTGGATTCGAGTCGCACAACACTGCGCGCTTGCAAATTCTCGATCTGGCAATTCTCACAAATGCCACCACGGGTTGCTTTCAGCAAAATGTGACTGCACCAATGGCACCTAGCGCACCCTTCCCACCAGCTTCCGGCTATCTCACGCTGCGTGCGGTACACATCCACGAAATAACAGTCGCCCTCTCGTTGGGAGGTCTCCAGAAGCTCACTGACAGCAAGTAACCACTCCGCAACCGCCGAGGAAAGCAGCCCCCGCGGATCCCGATGGCTATACATTTCTCCAAGGATGCAGCCGGCCTCCGCCGGTGCCACATGAAGAAACCACCACGGCTGCATATCCGTGCCGCTGAAATGAAACACCTTCACATCTTGCAAGGAAACGGCACCCCAGGGATGGTTCGCCGTCACCTCGCTGACGACTCCAGTGTCCGAGTC